TTTCTGCAAGTTAATTATTTCAAGCCTAGTTTTAATGAATTAAATTCTTCTTCTTCTTCTTTTTCTTTCTTTTTTAGGAATAATGAATTAAATTCTTCAAACTATACTAATTACGAGTAGTAATTCGAACTTGAAGGGGTAGGTTATACAGTTAATAATCAAATATCAATTCTGAATACTAATTCTATTTAATTAACACTTTAATATATAATTTATAAGGGCAGAAAAGGCTAATTAATTTAATTTAAAGAATGCATAATTTTCTAAAAAGAAAAAAGAGAGAAAAAAAAAGAATGCATAAAGTATCCAGTCTCCAACTCCAAATGTCTTGGCGGAAAAAAACAATCCCTCTCTCTAACATTGTTAGAAGTTTAACTTCCATCGGAGGGGGAGAGAAGAGGAAGAAGCAGAGGCGAAGAAGAAGGATTTGGAAAATTCAGGAGAGAGAGAGAGAGAGAGAGAGAGAGAGAGATTGCAAAATTTGCATCTAATCATGGAAAGCAATGTCCATGATTGGAATGTTGGGAGCAAGAATAGAAATGTGGCATAGCAGAGGGAGCAAAATCAGCTGAAATTTCTGAAACTGACAGTTTGGTTCTTCGTCCGTTGCGGTCTCTATTTTGCGTTCTTTTTTTCTTTTGTTCGTTTTGCAGAGAACAACATCGCATCGAGCTTGCCGAAATCTTTACCAGACTGCAAAATCACTGAAACGTTACCGAAAACGAGCCCCTCTGTCTTTCTGGTACGCTCTTTCACTGTTAAATTTTCACCACTCGATCGTGTAAATAAGGCTCTGGGATGATCACAATTGGCCGTCTTCGAATCCCCAACAAAGCGTTTCCTCTTTTCTTTTTTAGCGTGTGAGAGAGGATTTTGTTTGTGGGTTCACCGAGTTTTAGTACGTGTCTGTATCCTTCTACGCTCGCCCATGTGTCTCTCCATCGCAGCGGCTTCTCCGCCAATGCTATGCCCTTAGACACCTGGTTTGTCCTCCCTCCGTCTCTCTCTCTCTCTTGTCTAGATTTGTTTATTCTATGTGCATCCGTTCTACCAGTTTCTTGAAAAGATTTCGCTAAATTGGTTCCCGTAAAGCTTCATTTCAGCCGAAGCATGTTGCCGTTTGTGTCAAAACTTTAGCGCTTATTTGGTTATTTAATCAATTTAAGAGAACTGTCTCCTTTTTCCCAAATCCGTCTCGTTCCAAATGGTATTCAGACCCATATGGCTACTGGGTTTTTGTAACAGAGTCTTTATCTACTTGATTGATCCTACCTTTCCCTAATCCAATACATTCGAAAATCTAGTTACGTATGCCGTTATAGTCTTAATATTTTGGTGTTCTTGGATGCAGACTGTGAGTGAGTGCGGAAATGAAAGTTAATCTGAAGGAACAACCTGTATTTGAGATATGCTTGGTGGTTCCAAAAAGGAAAACGAAGAAAAAAGACGCCACTCATGACTGTGTGGAGGTGCTCGAAAATGCCTTTCGGAAGGTGGGTTTAATCGTTGAGAGAATTGATGGCGTCAACGATGAGTTCATGAAGGTTTGCCTCTGCTAATTATTTTTTTTTTGTCACGACTTTATTTCAGCGGACACCATTTCTCTTGATGCTAATTTAGATAATGGTTATTAGACAGTAGCCTGATTTATGAGGATGGTTTTCCTTCAATATTTATGTACAATTGTGATTGGCATGTGCTCGCTTAACATTTACTTGCACTAAAGATGCTGTTCTTATGTCTGTAACGGAGTAACAGAAGTGTCTATATGAGCTAACAACCTAGCTAGTTTTACTCACCTGTCTTCCGCTTGCTAGACAAAAATTATATATCGTGTCGGACTCTTTTAATATATACACGCATACTTATTGATTCTTAAGTTTTTAGTTGAATGAGTTGGTTTCTGTTAAGCTTTCCCTTTCCCACTTACTTATCTGCAATCTTCATTTATTGTGATTTGATGACCTCTTGCCTGTAAAATCTAGTTGGCAGCTCCCCTAGAGACATTAGGAAAGGCTGCTGTGCGCCTAGAAATGAAGAAGAGGACTCATATTGGTAAGCCTGACTATCTTTAGCAAACCCCTTGTCTGATTCTCGTCTTCCCTTCCTTGCTGGCCTTTCTTTTTAACACGTTTTTAAAAGTTTGTGTTTTTGTTTCTTTGCATTGGTTGTGGTGATCGGGATACAAGGGATGGATTTGCTTTTTGAACTAGATGAGGTTAATGCTTTTGTGAGACAGCCTGATGGTTCACTCTTCAGTTGGTGTGAGAGATTTCGTTGCTATCATCATTTGATATATGGGATTGTGAGTGACTCCTCATGTTGCAGAAGATTTATTCCTCATCCACTTATTCTAATAAATAAACTATTATCTCAATATCTTTCATAGGGAAATCTATTTTCATAATTATTATGAGTTTTCTCATATGAAAAAAGTTGCTTTGATGGTTTAATAATTTCATTTATCTACCCTTTGATTTCATGTGCAAATAGTTGGAATTTGAATGACAAGTATCGAATGTGAAAAACAAGCCAGAAAGTCATTAAGCTCTATCCCATGATTAGGCATCTGATTATTGATTGATATCCTTCCGTTGATGTTTGTCAATTCCTAGCATATGCTGTACCTCTACATTACTAGATATAAGCTCTTACATTTTACAGGTAAATGAGAATCAGTCAGCTGTAACTCTTAAATGTGATGAAGAAGAATTTCAATGGAAAGTTGGGGAGAGTTTAATCAGTACATTGGAATCCAAGAAAATTGTTAAACAAATATTTCCTCTACATGGTATGCTTGCCTTGACTTTCCTAAAATTTTGCAGCTCTGTGCTGTATATTCTTTGGACATGAGATAGCTATTTTATAGATGAAAAAATTAGGAAGAAGCTCCTTGGAAGTTGGGCACTTAACTGGTGGGACTTCACTGGCCAGCCCATTGATGAGGTTTATTCATATTATGGTGCAAAGGTACTCAAACTCAACTATAATGTTATTTTATAGGAGCTAATCATTCTGATGTGCAGTTTGACTAACATGTTAGAGAATTAACTGTTTGAAGATTGCACTCTACTTCGCATTCCTTGGAATGTATACACGATGGATGCTATTTCCAGCTTCGCTTGGGCTGATACTGCAATTAGTTGAATTCGGGTGAGCCACTCTATATCAATTAGCTGCAGGGCCAGCAATTATTTTCCAACTTGTTTAAGCATTCCAAAATTACATAGAAATAAACATCATATTGCTCATCTTGTCTACAGGTCCCTGCGACTACTGGTCCTCCCTATTTTCTTTATAAGCATTATTTTATGGGCTATCATGTTTTCCCAGTTCTGGCGACGGAAAAACTCTGCCCTTATAGCCAGGTACCTTGGTCTAGGCATAATTGTGCTAGTGAATCTGTATATGCTGTTGTGGTCACTTCCTTTTTTGTCTACCTTTTGGCACTGATTATCTCTCACTTGCTGTAAAGATGGCAGATCAATTATTCCTTCATAGGTGATTCAAGTTTTAGACTTTCGGGCGTGGAATGCGGCTCTCCACAAATACCTGTGGAGCTCATAAAAAACCAGGAAATGGATAAAACAAAAGAGAAAGAAGTGTTTCAAAGAATTGAGTGGTTTGGCCGCCTTAGGCGATTTAGAAATGACGCTATCATCATCTTGAGCATTATATGCCTGCAGTTGCCATTTGAGTTGGCATATGCTCATTGTTATGAGGTTATTCGGTCAGATGCTATCAAGTAAGAACTTGAGATACCTTCAAATGTGTCATGCACTTGAACTCATGATTTACTTGTCCAACACGTCAGATCATTCTTTATTAAATATTATTTCCTTGCCCTCTTAGCTGTTGCAGTTTTCGACCTTTCCCTCTAGGTACCAGCATTTGATCAATTTGAAAGAAGCCATACACAATTTCATCTTTTTCTCCCTTTACTAATGATGCAAACCAAGTAAAATTTTATGATCTTAAACATTCAGAATCTCTATTCCTGATATACTTCTACACTAAAATGTCACCATAGGTGTTCTCACATCAGTATGTTTGGAATAAAGTTCAAATTTGTTATTTTGTCAATCATCTTTTAGCAGTTCAAAGAAACAGTGTTTTACATCAGTCTTAAAGCAGTCTCTATGTACACAGCTTAAGAAAAACTGTCTCAAGTATGGCTGAATATTTTTCTTCACATTTCATTGTCCATTTTTGGCAGGAATAATTTATTACTGTATGTACACTCTGTTGGTAACTGTATAATATAATTTGGGAACAAATCTTTATTATACATATTTTTTGGTTTCAGGTTTGGGCTGACTGTCTTGTACCTATTTGCCATTCAATATTTCACACGGTTGGGAGCTAAGATATCCATGAAGCTCATTAACTGCGAAAACTATGAAAACCATGAAAAAAGGGCTGATAGTTTGGTCTACAAGGTAAATGGGCTTTTTCTCTTCTTTGTTCTCACGGCTTTGGTTCACTTAAACGAGTTTCCTTGCAGATTTTTGGACTTTACTTTATGCAATCATATATTGGAGTCTTCTACCATGCCCTTTTGCACCGTAACTTCACAACTCTTCGTCAAGTGTTAATACAACGCCTTCTTATATCTGAGGTGGAAGAACAATCAACTTTTTAACTCTTTACTTGGTTCTTCACTATTTCTGATCGTAATATGCTTTGAATTGGAAATTGTTATTCAGGTGTTGGAAAACTTGTTGGAAAATTCTTTACCCTATCTCAAGTACAGCTATAGGAAATACAAAGTCCGGTAAGTACTCCCATTCATTGCCAACAATTTCTGGACTTGTTACATTTTGGGCATGCTGAGGCTTACTTTTCCATTAACTGGGTGGCGGCTTACTCATCCTTCGGTGTAAAGGAGCAAGAAAAGACGTGAAAAAGGATCTCCTCAAGGGAAGATCCACTTCGCTTCTCGGGCAGAGAAAGAATACCTGAAACCTTCTTATTCTGCGAGCATTGGTGTTGAGCTAGAAGATGGGCTCTTTGATGGTAATAAGCTAAATACAACTTTTGAAACAAGTAGAATTAGTATATCTTTTTCTGATCACATTCATTATATTTACAGTTTCTTCAAAGTTCGTAAATTCTGAGGTTTTAACTCTGTTTCTTTGGCAAGCTAAGTGAAGTTGGAGTTCCTTCTTTGAACCCCTAAATGAGACTTTGAAATTTTTTTACTTTCTGGTAGTAATTATTCCTGACTTTTGGGATTTCTTGGCGCTTTCTTTGTTGCACTTGAGATCTTCTGACTCAGTTTTCACTGGTTTTCCCCCAGTGACTAAGCTAAGATCGTTTGGTCTAAGATAACGCAAGATTGTTTGGTCTAATGCTATTAGAGCTTTTTGTTGAAAATTTCTGTTAAAAAACATTCGAGAAAACTTCTACTGGGGTATAGACAGGTCAAAGAGACGTTGGATTCGGCTTCTTTCAGAAACTTCTTTTTTTTTTTAACATAAAATAATAAATATTAGTTCCTTGTTCAAGAACCTCTGTGATTGTTTCTCCCTTTTTTATCTAACAAGTACTCCAACGCTGAATGCAGATTGTTTGGAGTTAGCATTGCAGTTCGGAATGATCATGATGTTTGCTTGTGCTTTCCCTCTTGCATTTGCATTTGCTGCTTTGGTAAATTCTTTGGCTTTCTTTGTATTTGGTTTCCTTTCCCATTACTGTTTATTTCTTATTTACATAAAATGATCTTCTGAGTTCTATATTCAGAACAACATCACAGAAATAAGAACAGATGCTCTGAAACTGCTAGCTATGTACAAAAGGCCCATTCCCCGTGTAGCAACGACAATTGGTGCTTGGCTTAACATTTTTCAGGTACTCACATTTTGGATTTAGAAACTCTGGTTTCTGCTAGGACATCTCTACATTAACATTTTCTTTTTCAATTTGAACTTTTAATATTGAGTTTCTTAAAGAACACATTCGCTGAATTTTGCTCAACTTTAGTTTATATAAGCACCACTTGGTTAGAGGCATATATATTTTAGTTTCAACTTTATGGGCAAAACGGATTCTGTAATGACTGATTTGATTCATACATAGATGAGGCTGCCTATTCTTTGTAGGCAGTCATAGCATCCCTAAAGGGGAACAACCGGTGGACCAGCATTAAAAGTCTCTGTATCCAAAGATTGCCTTACCCTTATCCAACCCCAAATAGAACGTGTTAAGCAAACTTCATTAGTAGATAGAACTGGCTGCTTTATTTTTTCTTTTGGTCGAAGTCTTAGATTTAATATTATATCTATGTCTAACAAAGTGACAAACCTCCAAATCTCAGTTTTTGATAGTGATGTCCATATGCACCAACTGCGCACTTCTAGTATGGTTATACGACCAGGAAGGAAAATGGAAGATTGAGCCTGGACTTGCAGCCATCCTAGTCATGGAACATATTCTCCTACTGGTCAAGTTCGGTTTCTCTCGTTTAGTACCTGAGGTAGAATTTAACTCTCCCCCTTGTAAAACTTTTCGAACCTTTTCTATAAAAAAGAGAGAATCAAACTTTCGGCAGGCCTAGATAATTTAGGACTTCAAATCTTCTACCACTCATTCCCTAAAATTAAAAATGCTAAAGATGATGAAACTTTGCTTACATGGCAGGAACCCGCATGGGTAAAAGCCAATCGCGTGAAGAAAGCTACACAGGTGCAGGACATTTGTTCAAAAAGACTACTAAGAACCATATCAGGTGGAGAAAAAGCTCTAAACTATGTAAAGAAAACTCAGTAGAAAGAGAAAGGTATATAGATAAAGCACATTCTTTCCACTTCCACCCTCTGCTATAGAGCATATAGTATTATAGATAAAGATCATAGAAGTCACTGATTTTACCAAGGTGTTCTTGTTTTGTTATGAATGTGTTTTCCCCACCACCTCTTTTGTATTTTTTTTTTCCTTTTTTTTTTGCCTTTTTTTTGGTGGCTTTCATGTTTGGAACTTGTTCACATTACTGGTGGATGATTCTTTGGGACTCTCTAAACCCATTTGGCCATTTCCTCCTTCAGTAGATAAGGGGGGGAAGAGAGAGAGAAACAGAGATGATTCATTGTACACAGGGAATCACTTTAATACTGTTATGTTTCCGTAGTCATTCATTTCTCAAAGAGAATCTCACTTTATTCCTCAAAGAAAAGCTCAAGGACCATATTATTTCAGATGAAGGAAAAAGAAAGTAGAGTATGTACATTGTTTTTGATCTTCGGCTTTCATGACTCACTACAAGCAATTTCCATGCTGATCCATGTTCTTCATGAGAACCATAAGTCAGCCCCCAACCAATGACTTCAAGAAACGTGCACCCATCACCATTCAAACTATGTTGCTTCCAAAGCTCATTTCATTTCAAACAAAAACAAACCCAACAGAGAGAATTTGAGTGATTCTAATGCTAGTCAACTTCACCAAACTCCATGACAGAACCATCTGGTACAACTAGCGACGCCAGCTTCCAAGGCGGTCGCTTACTTGGCGAGCATAAGCCACCACGGCTTTAGCCCATTTCCTGATCCCAGTCTTCAACTTCTCTGAATCCATCTCTTTCAAAGACTTCCCACGTTCCATTGGTAGTTCTGGGGATGAAAAACAGAGATCGAAAGATCTTCTGCGCTTTCTGGCAGCTTCATGCCTTCTGTGGCGCTTCGCGTCCTCAGCTTTTGTCAGAGAGAGAGACTTCTTCACAGACATGGCTGTCTGTTTTCTTGGATGCCGGTCGTGCAGCCAAGGATTAGGCACAACCGTAGAGAAGACACCATCTGGGTCATTTGTATATGGCCGAGAGAGCAACTGGGACAAGCAACAGATGCTGCACAAATGCGTGTTGGAAAGTCACATCCATTGACTTTGAACATTCCAAATATGCTGTTTCTTTGTAGAGAAGTTTTGGGTTTGCAAATCTTGTTGCACAGTCTATAAATTTTGGCATGTTCTAGTGAAATGATACACCACAAGTTACTGACTGTTATATTACCATTGTTGCCAAAATGATTGGTAGTTTTTTTTTTTTTGGCAGGGATTGATAGTTGTTTAGGTGAAATTTGGAAATTCAACTCTCTGACCATTTCTATGGAAAAGAAAATTTAAATAATTGAAGGTCATTCTTCGTTACAGAGCCATTCGTGTACCTCTGGGGCCAAACCAAATCCTTCTTTTCAAAGGGTTATCTTTTTATTTCTTGAATTATAATGGTCATTCCTTTCAAAAACTCCAACAAAAACAAACTCCAACAAAAACAAAAAGGTGACATTTTTTTTTTCAATATTTTCGAGTGCCGTAAAATTTCAACAAGATTTCATGGTGGTAAAATGGTAGATCCACAATACTCGAAATCTTGAAATCTTGGTTTAAATGAGCGTGGAGGTTCAAGTCCTAAGTTTGGTGTAGGATTACGAAATTTCATGAATAAATATCCACATACACTGCAGCAAAAAAATAGGTACTATACATAATACATGATCGAGTAAATTCAATAATAGGTGAGTAAATTCAATAATAGGTGCCAGTTAGCATTCCAACCTTCTTGAAAAGTTGATATTTCTTGGTTATGAATGTTCGAATAGTTCATCCATCGTTCTATCAATCAACAATAAAACATACAATATTATTTTTCAAAATAATTCTCAACTCCTTGTGCAAGGACTGAATTAAGGACTTGTTATAACTAAAAAGGAAATTTCAGTCACCATTTTACCTTTCTACAAAGTGTCAAAAAATATACTAAAAAACTTGAGAACCAACAAAAAAGTAGTACTGAAGTGTAAGGAATTTGAGACAATGTTCATTACATAATGGACTCTCTATCATATATGCACCAAAAAGCATTCAAAATCAAATCCAATAATATTTACCATATTATGGTGGCTCTTTGGTAATTCAAACAATGAAATACATGAAGGAATGGGAACTTTGAATACGGATCATATATTTAATCAAAGATCTCATGACATGTTACACAAAATTGCAAGAATCTAAAGAACAAATTTAGAAGTTTACTCGGAATAAATTAGTGACAATGTTGTTTACAAGCATTACAATGGGAATGGAAGTTATTGAGGCTTAGGACTAAGAAAAACTAACTAAACGAGGTCAACAATAATTCCAAATACCACATGATTCCAATAATCACCATCTTTACAACCCTGCTGGCTAGTTTTACATATATACAGAGCTAACTAACAGAAACCAAGCTTCCTACTCCTGTTCTACCACTTCCTCTCTACAATATCAAAATGTCAAAGAACTTGTACAGTTTGATTCTCTATCAATCTAACTTAATATTGAATGATTCTGCTGTATGCTTACCACCAAGTCTAAATCAGCACAGGCTACGTTCTGCAACTTGTATAATTCAAGCAAACTGTCAAAGAACAAACCTAATTCATGGGATGCCTTTTGTCAAGGCATGGTGTGATGGCCGGGATAAACCGCTCACTGCTTCGTTTATCCGACTGAACACGACTTTAAGAGGGATACAGGTGATGACATGAACATTAGACTTCTGTATCATTTGTTTTGGCTGATTTTGATGCCGATTATGACCAGTCAGTGTAGATAGTCTGCGGATCTTTTTACATAAATGCCCAGATCTTTTCGTTTTTGGCGATTTGGATAGGGATGGAGACTGTTTGGCTTGAGTTCTTGCAGTTGCAGTGTGCTTGACTGCATACCGGTTTTTGTCACCTTCCGGGTCGACATTAACTCTGCTCAACAAGGAATCGCAGTGCCCGTCTTCCACAATTTCAAGTGTGAGAGGATGACCAACTATCGCTTTCCCATTTAATTTGCTCATCAAAGAAACCAATGGAACATGCTGAGGCCTATAGCTGGCTTGGACCTCAAGCTCAACATCATATAACAGCGAATTAGTTCCATAATTTCTAACAGAAAATTCTGGCATCTGATATCGAGAACGGACGGTAAAGCGAGACTGGCGATAAGGAAGCAATTTTTGAGGTACCAGAGAGTCATCAAGTAATTGCTTCACCTCCGTTTTCGGTTCACTTGCATGAGATTTCCTGTAAGATATACGTTTATTCCATTCACAGAGTCCATCTACCTGGCTTTCGGCAAATTGTTTAGACTTGGCTAGTAGATCACAATCATTTGCTGATGGGGACCTACTGACGCTGTTGCCATCTACTTTACCTGCCAAGCAAGCATCAGATGCATCATCCACATCCAATGAATTTCTCGAATCCTGTTTTCTGTAGTTACTTAAATGCCTTGACTTCCTCTTTCCTTTTAACTGCCACCTTGAAGTACCTCTCTCGATCTTTTGGTTAATATTATCATTACGAGTGGCAGCTGAAGTTGTAGAACCAGGTTCCTTAGTTGCTTCGCTTACCAAAGACACGGCTGGCGTACTTTGATTGGACTGCCTTCCTAAAGCACCGACTGAAGACCTACCGGATGAAGAAGAAGGATTCGTAGGAGAAAAACCTGACAGTTGGGTTCAGGAATAAAAATTAGTAAAATATCATCCGACGGTAAACTACAAACTTTCACAATGTATGCCACTGCACTATAACAGCTTGACAGAGAGCAATTTGAAATGAACAAGGGATCTCTAAATCTATCATTAGAGCGGAGTGAACCAAAAAGTTAAAACCTGAAAAAATACATCCAGGAAAAAAGGCTTGTATAAAGTTGTCACGGATAAATTGGGATATACATGAAGCATGATCCAGGAGGCAAGAAGAATCCAATAAACTAAAATCAAGGTGGAGCAGAAATGCACATAAGCTAAAGATACTACAATCATCAGTTAAGCAAAATATATTAGCATAAAAGCAAAACATACTAGAGAGTATCTTAAAAATTCATAATTATTCACTTCAAGCATACCAGCTGAGTGCTTCTCCCCTCCAACAAATGGCACATCGAATAGCTTATCAGAAGAGTTATTCTCAGGAGGCTCAGATATACTCGAGACTTCATTTTCCTTTGTCTTAGGATTAATCCGAGACACTTCAGAAGCACTTAAAGAGGCTTCATTGTCACAAGAAACTGCAGTGCCATTGCCATCTGAACTATTGATAGTCGCCAAAGAATTACTTCTCTTTGATTCAGTATCCAATCCGGGAAGCCTACCATCAGATGTTCCTCCCCATAGGGGTGAACTACATGCATCAGGAAGTTGGTCACAAATCACTGGAACAGATACCATTGCTGTGCTCTCCAAAACCTTTGTCAACGGCCGACGGCGATTTTTCTTTTTCAAGAATTCCTGTACACTTGCCACTTGAGATCTCTTTTTTCTCAATGATGATGAGTACATATGAATAATCTTTGGGGGATTTCCATTAGTCACACAACTCCCAGCATTTAGATTACGATGAGAGGCATCCTCTTGTTGAACTGTTTCAAGTTGCTCTGCAGCATGGGCTTTCCCATTTGCCAATGAACCCATACCCAAATCTTCAAGTCCTCTCATACGCTTAACACCCTCTGTTCCATCATCCTCTGAATCATTCGGCGTTCTCCTCCTATTCTGTTCAGATAGCACCTTAGAGGGACTGGCATGATTAGGCTTTTCCAAAGGAATATCCGAATGAGACATTTCAGGGGCAGAATCGGAGCTCACTTCAGAATTACTCTTTTTTGGACAAGTGTCTTCAGAATTATTCACATCATCGGACATGATGGCTTCTTCTTCTTCTTCTTCTTCTTCTTCTTCTKCTTCTTCTTCTTCTTTTTCTTCTTCTTCTTCTTCTTCTTCTTCTTCTTCTTCTTCTTCTTCTCCTCCTTCTCCTTCTCCTTCTTCTTTTTCTTCTACTTCTTCTTCTTCCTCCTCTTCCTCCTCTTCTTCCTCTTCTTCACAAGAATCAGACACTGTAGGAGATGGAGGAGATTCACTGGCTAAAACGCCATTCTCACCATCTGAAGCACTTTTCTGAGTCCTATAGCTAAAGTCCAAGTGATCCTTGCCTAGAAGGGCACTCTCAAGCTCTAGAGCATGTAGAATTGCATCTTCCCTCCGTGCATATTTCACGGCCTTCTTACAAGAGTTTGCTGCAGAAGCCTTCGCTTTCTCAATGCATTCATCATATTCTCCACATCGAAATGCCTTCACCCTCTTAGATTTTTCAAGATTGTACCAGTCACTAAGCCAACAAGAGTAAGAGTATTGTCATGAAGAGAGAAAAAAAAAACTCGTACAGAAATAAAAACAAAGCGTCAAACGTTCAAAATATAGACAACAGATGAATCATGAGAGCGGAAAGAGCAGATTGCGAATCAATAGCTATAAACTACCAAAAGCACATATGCAATCATAGTTCAAAGAACAGCCACATCTGTCAACGTTTTGCCTCATAGAACATCCAAGCAAGAACCACAAAGATTACAAACATAGTACACTACAGAACCTAGCACAACGAGAAGGGTTAACCACTATAGGTAAAAGAACTGCAAATGGTGACAGAAAAACAGAACAAGGAGAAAATATAATCACAGTATAAATCAAATCAGTGAAGTGCAGAACTTAAATGAACCAATAACAAGAAGCAAATTACATGCTTGCGTCTTCGCGACCTAGAAGTTTCACCGGCGTACCGGATCTTGGAGAAACCAAACAGCTCTCCGACAATTCATCGAGGCCCAAAATCTTGCCCGGCCACCACGACCCATTACGGCGGCGGACCCAAACCAACCCCCCAACCGATGCATCGATACCCTTGGCCTCGCCAGAACTCCCCATCTCCACAAAAACCCCCAGAACACCAAAATCAGGGGAAATTTTTCCTGGAACGAACCCTCAGCTGTTCATTTTGAAGCGTAATCCGGAGTCAAAAAAACCGTCAAAAACCTCGCCCTCTCCGACAAATGCATACATCGCTAACTAAAAGGAAGCACTGGGATTAAGGAGATTGAAGAAGAGTGCATACTTGCATGCGGCAGAGAGAAAGAACCCGAAATTTAAGGGAGGCGTCAGTGGAAGAGCAGGATGAGAGGGTTTAAGGAAAATGGAGATCTACGAGATTCTTTTAAGTTGTTCTCAACATTACTGCGAAATATTTCGGTGTTCTTGGTATGATTTTGGGTTGATATCCATTAATATTCATGAGATTTTGTTTGAAGATTGTATGTGGTGTGAAGGGTGTCCAAGCCAGGTGTGAGAGAGATGTGAGTTCGGATCAAAATCCAACCTTTTGGTTTTGCTTTTGGTTTTGGTGGGGGAAGAGACAGGGTTTCTCAAACTCTCAACTCTCGACTTTCAACACAGCGATCAAGATTAAAGGGTGGCTAAATCAAGTTTTAATGGAAAAAATAAACTATTCCACCAAAAATATATTTATCTGTAATTTATTTATTTTTATTTTTGTACCATTCTAATTTATTAACTCAACATATGTAGTGGTGTAAAATCTTACGAATTATCTTTATTTTTACAAATAGTTGTCACCTTGAATGCATAATAGTAAAATGATGTTTTCTATTTTTTTATATGTTTTCTGTTAAACTATTAGTTAATTGTCTTTAATTAATTGAATAATGTTTAGGTTGGATCGTCTAATTAGTTGAATTATGACATAAAATTAAGAGAAAATAAAACTAATTAGATAGTTAATTTATCAATGTATATTATCTAAATTGAAATAAAATAAATAAGATATAAATTTTTTCATAATTGCTGAATTAAAAATAAAAGGGGGATAAATTCGCAATTTTTTGGGTAGGTGTTAGAGACATTTGTTAAATATATAGACAAAATTAAAACTTTCTTAAAAGAAGAATAAATTGTAAAAAGAATCCAAACTACAAGAAAAGAAAAAAAAAAGCTTTTAAAATCATAATAATCGAGTTAAAACTAGGGACGCAATTCGTATTTTGCCACAAAAAGGAAAACAAGGGCAACAAGGGTCTGTATAGTTTGTTTATTTTCCCCTGTTATTTTTCCTTTTTTCTCCCAAGTTCCAACCTTTACCCCCTCAAACTCGAAGATTCCCACAAATTTTTACTCGATACATTATTTGATTTTCTTAACCAAAACCCATCGGGAAAGAGTTGAGGGACTTCCGTTTGCTCCTGTGTCTGAGCAGGAACTTATAGGTATCTATTAGCACAGTGACTGTGATTGCATCTCGGCGTCGCCAGGGAGAGGAGGGAAGCCAATTCCAATTGTAGCAACCATGACTGGTACATAATTTCCCTCATCTAACGACTTTGAGATTCACTTTAATGTTAAAGAAATTGGAATATGTCATTTTTTACCTTCAGCTGCATGAAAGCCTGCCTTTATTAGAATACTGATTCTTTATTCTCATCGCTGCTTTAGTTCTGATAGTGTTTTTCACCTGGTTATGTTAGTATCTCTCTGGGTTTTTGCTGTATTATTGATCTTTTAACAGTGTACCAGCTACTGCTGGTAATCTGCTTTCTTAGGAAGTTAATGATTCCGACCAGCTGCAGATTGCTAGTTTTTCAATTTAGTGAGAGTTTTGTGATGTGGGCTTCGTGAAAACGATTGCAAGTTTCTCATGGTCCATAGAGCTGATCAAATTGTCTCTTGAAATGGGCTGGAGACTGCGTAGGATCGAATCCTGGATTTTCATAGAGACAGCAGAAGTCTAGAAGTGACTATGATCACCAGAATATTTTGCTTTGATAAAGTTATTCCTTTTCCTGGATAAATTAAATAAATAAGATAAAATTTGAATAAACTTGTTTATGTTATCCAACTTATGTGAGATCTTGTGTCTCAAATAACGTGGGTGTTATTGCATTGCTAACACTTTAATATATACTGAATTGATGTGTGTGTGTATCTACATACATATATGTGCATAATTTTTCATTATGTTCCCATTAATTTTGACTATCTTTCTCCTATTCTGCTTCTAGACTATGCACAAGAGCAGGAGATGGAAATTGAAGCATTGGAAGCTATACTTATGGATGATTTTAAAGGTTGGTGGCGCATTTATTTTAATCATAACGCATTTAAAAATTCAAAGTGCTTCCTTCTAAGATATCAAGTGCCGTTTCCTGTTTGTATTCGATGTCAGAAATTCACTCAAGTGAGAGTGGCCTAAATACTTCTAGTAGATGCTTTCAGATAACTCTATCACCTCAGGTACGTGGTCTCTGTTTTCAACCTAATCTACTTTTGGGGAATGGACAGAATCTGATAATTATGTCAACTCCTTTTAACCCTTTTACGAAGAGAGTTTCATTCAAATTGGTTTATATATGCTATCATTATGAAAGATTAGTACCTATTATTTCTTAAAATCATTTCCTTGTTTACACGATTGCCAGCAAAGAAAGTAGACGTACTGACATTTATATTCTTATGTTTATTACCATTCTCATTTTGAATAGGACGATGAGGCAGATGAACCAACAACTTATCCAGGTTATTCTTACTTACATTACCTTTCTAATAGATTCCCCAAGAGGTTTAACTATTTTCTTACTGTCCTATTATTGGATCTGTAATTTATGTGGTAGTAAGCTCTTGCCCCAAACTTTTGTGCAGTTCAGCTGGCTTTGATTTTCTCACATACAGAGAAATATCCTGATGAACCTCCTCTTTTGAATGTGAAAAGGTTGTATATTCATACTATGCATGTAATTACTTAGATGGATCTGGATGTTCTTTACTTCAATAATTAAAAATAAACTGAAAGATTTCGTCTAAGTTAAGCTAATCAGCTTGTTGATCTTGATTACCATACTCATTGAGGCTGCATAATGACAAGTTAGTTCGATATAAAAGTATAGATATATATGTATACTTTTCTTTTTTGGTGTGTGTGTGTATAAGAAACGATTTTTATTAACATAAGAACAAAAGAGTAGCCTTATTGCAGGGATGAGAAAGGCCCCCTCCCAAAAGAATTCTATTCTTGAATCTAATAGTATATTGATTTATGGATGTGTTGCTTTGTTGCTCAGTTTAAGAGGAATACCGGGAGAAGATCTAAAGATTTTGCGAGAAAAGCTTCAGCAAGAGGTACTTCATTTAATATTTAAATACCCATCACACACCTTTTAATTGATGTGTGATGAATAAGGAATTCTATTAAAACAATTTTCAGACTTCTCTCTCACCGGTAAACCTTTATAAAAGTTGCAACTTATCTCTACTGTGATGATAACAATTAACAAATAAAGTGATGGAAAAAGAAACCTCTTTGAGAGAGTGAATGTTAGTTTTAAACTATGGTGAATGAAAATAATATCAATGCAACAAACTAAAAATATCATGATCATCCAAGATTGGAGGGCTACTCTCATCCCCCTGCCCTTAGGTTGTTCCCCTTTTGTTCTTCTACACAAATATTGTTTCTTAGCAAAAGAGGGAAAAAAAAAAGGTTATAAGGACAATTACAATGATCAAATCATGACATCGACATGTTTGAGAAAACTGGTTGCATTCCATCAAAATGTGTATGCTTACTGTCACAATCGCACCTTTTTAAAGCAGCTCGAGCGATTGTGCGGCACTTGCTCTAGCTCAAACGAGCAAGTCAGCCGGGAAAAACTGTAAGTTGC